GTAGTGTCTAGTGCAGATTTGGTAGTGATATTGAATATTTCTAATGTTTCTAAGAGGTTATCACTGGTAAAGAAACTGCTCTAGTCAGAGTGCATGATTAGAAATCGAAAGTTTTCCCAGTCAGAGTTCGCATAGTCTCTATATTGGAAACGCGTATTTAATGTCTTTAATTTGTTGCGTATGGCAAGAAGTGTGCAGAGGACTATTTTATGATCGCTGTTGTGAAACTTTTCGCCAACCACCATTGATGTTGGTGTGACATTATGACAGAATATCAAATCAAGAATGTTGTGATTTCGTGTAGGCATGTGTACATGTTGTTGCCAACCGTGTATGTCTAAGGACCTAAGCACAATGGGCCAGAATGTGTCCTCTAGTTGATGGTCATAGGCGGCACTATATTTCCACATAAACGCACACACAAATCCACATGAAATTTACCGGATCACAATACACATAAACAAATCGACCATATCTGCAGCAATAAAAAGCTTAGACGAACGTGAGAATCCAGAGTGGAAGTGATATAGCATCAGATCATCACTTGCTGGTCGCTAAGATGAGATCGAAACCCAAGAAGCATAAGACGACGTGGCGGACATCACAAAATTGTAATACGGCCTTTCTTCAGGATAAAGACAGACGCAACGAAGTCAAAACAGTCCTCAGGCTTTTCATGATCTACTCAATGGAGAAAGAACTACTATGGAGAACAACTAGAAAGGGATCAAAGGGGCGATCACTTCAAAATTTTACAATGTTCTGGGCCATAAGAAGCACCATCACAAGGAATGGATCACTGTTGATACACTAGATAAGATTCAGGAAAAGAGGAACATTAAGGTAGCGATCAATACCAGCCGAACAAGATCAAAGAAAGCCAAAGCACAAGCTGAATACACAGAAGTAAACAAGCAAGGAAAGAGGAGCATCAGAACTGAGAAACGTAATTATGTAGTACACCTAGCAATGATAGTAGAAAAGAATGCAAGAGAGGGAAACATGAGACAACTGTATGACACGACAAAAAAACTCTCTCTAAATCCCTGTAAACCGGAGCAACCAGTGAAAAGCAAGGAAGGCAAGGTAATCATCAACATTGAAGAGCAACAAAACAGGTGGGTAGAGCACTTCAAAGAACTCTTGAATCGAGCAGTCCCACTGAACCCACCCAACATATAAGCAGCACTCACGGACCTCCAAATCGTTGTTGGCCCATCAACAATTGAAGAGACCAGCACAGCCATCAAACAAATCAAACGTGGTAAAGCAGGGGGACCAGATAACATTTCAGAAGAAGCACTGAAAGCAGACTAGCGGTAACTGAAAGGATACTCTAAATTCTCTTCAAAAATATTTGGAGTGAGGAACAAGTACCGACATACTGGAAAGAAGGACACCTCACCAAGATACCAAGGAAACGTGATCTCAGCAAGTGTGAGAACTACAGAGGCATCGCTCTTCTCTCAATATCAGGGAAAGTCTTTAACAGGGTGTTGTTAAACAGAATGAAAGACTCCGTAGATGCCTAACTTCGAGACCAACAGGCTGGATTAAGTAATGATCGGTCATGTACCTACGAGATCACAACACTACGGATCATTGTGGAACAATCAATTGAATGTAATTCGTCACTCCACATCAACTTCATTGACTACGAGAAAGCATTTGATGGTGTGGACAGAACAACACTATGGGGTCCTATTTGACACTACGGCGTGCCTGAGAAGATAATCACCATCATACGGAATTATTATGGTGGAATTAACTGTGAAATCACCCATGGAGGACAGCTCGCAGACTCGTTCGAAGTACAGACCGGTGTCAGGCAAGCTTGTTTACTCCCACCCTTTCACTTTCTCCTGGTGATCGACTGTATTATGAAAACGTCAACATCTGGGGAGGCATCGGATACAGTGGACAGCTAGAAAGCAACTAGACGATCTAGACTTCGCAGGCAATCTGGCTTTTCTATCGCACACGCAACAACAAATGAAGGTGAAGACGAACAGTGTAGCGACAGCCTCATCAGCAGTAGGTCTCAACATACACAAAGGGAAAAGTAAGATTCTCCGATACAACACAACATGCACCAATCGATTCACACTTGACGGAGGTTTGTACGATGAAAAAACCCTTATATATCTGGGTAGCATCACTGATGAATACGGTGGACCTGATGCAGGATATCTACAAGTAAAGAACATCTGGAATTCAAAACAACTGTCAACCAACACCAAGGTCAGGATTCTTAACACAAATGTCGAGACAGTTCTACTGCATGGAGCGTAAACTTAGAGGACTACGAAAGCCATCATCCAGAAGAAACAAATGTTTTTTAACAGTTCTCTATGAAAGATAATTCAGATCCGTTGGCCAGACACTATCTGCAAAAACATACTGTGGAATAGAACAAACATGAAATCTGTAAGAAGCGCGCACATTGAGGAAAGTACCCAACTGCGTCACAAGGCAATCCCTCTCATGGATTTCTCAAGGCCAAAGGAAAAGAGGAAGACCAAAGGACACATTACGTCGGGAAATGGACATAGACATAAGAAAAATGAACAAGAATTGGATGGAACTAGAAAAGAAGGCCCAGGACGGAGTGCGTCCTGAAGCAACAACTTGCATTTAGAGAGGTAGAAACCCATTCCAAACATTCCGACATTATTACTCAGTACTACCAAAAGACTGCATTTTATCAGCGTCTTCATCAGACAGGACTTTGTCATCTGCGTATTCTTAGTGATAAGTGAACCTGCTGAAAGGAGATCTATACCCGATAATTCAGTCGACAAAATGATATTCCCATCAGTAGGTCCATGATGAAGTTAAACAAAAATGGAGAAAGTGGACAGCCTTGACAGACACCACTTGAGGTTGCAAAGGCGGATGACAGTTCGCCATAAGCTCTGACTCGACTAGTAGTTTTCGAGTAAAGAGCCTTCACAAGGTTTGTGTACTTTTGAGGTACACCTTTCAACAACAGACACTGCCAAAGAATCTCACGGCCGCAGCCTTTTCCATTTCTTTTGCTTTCGTTGCTCACCACTGCTCACGATCGTTCCTTAGACTTTTGCTTAATCTAGAACTGATTTGTTTACTCAGGTTTTCAGTTGTGTACTACATGTTTAATGCGTCCTGATTAACACTTTGAGTACTGACGACCACATGCACTGGATAAATTAATAATTGTCGGGACTCTATAAATTTGGAGTTTTTGAAAATGAGTCCTTAGAATCTTACCGAGGCTGAAAATCAAGTGTCAATCATTTACTACACAGCATGAGAGTTTTTGACAGTAATGTAGGCTTACGTTGGCTAAAGACAGTAACAACACAACCATAACCGTCTTAAAATTATCTATCAATGTCATCACTAATCTCAGTATTGGATCAGCAGTGTAATCGTATTTCCTTTCGTATTTCCATTATAACTGAGTTGCCAAAATCGACGGAGTTCAACTTAAATCTGTGGCGGGGCTTCAAAAACTGCAAATTTCCGCGCAAAAATCTACATCCTAGTAGTTATTCGTCAAAAAATCGTCTCTCTAATAATGCGAACATTTAACTATTTCGTTCAGCAATTTTCCATGGAATTTGACCCGAAATCACGATAACATCTAAAATGCAAAGAAACACCAGGAGGTGACTTGAAACTCATACCAACATCGTCAACGTCCATACCAACAAAAGCTAATTATTTTGAGCAAAATTTATTCGACACAACAGTATATTTCGAAATAATTATCTGATAATTTCAGAAAACCGCAAGGATGCCAATTATTCTGTTCATTGAGGACGAACAGTGATGTTGTATCGTCGCAAATCGCCTTTGTGTATCGAAACGCAATAAATCGTTTGCATGGCTAGTTTTCCCTTGGTGTAACTTAGATAATTTAGGCGGTCACATCTTCACTGTTCAGCTCTAATACACTAAGTATTCACGAAAGTCTCTCATTTATTATTTGACTTATATATAACTGACCCGGTGCATCAACTTTCCTGAAAGAACAGAATAGTTTGGGACTTGGGATTCGGCTGTAGAATTTAGAGTGAGTATCCTCGTTGTCGTGAGATTCGTTTTAAATCTGAGTTGCAGGGAAAACAGTTGTTTTTACCAATCCGACTTTTGTCTGGTGTTTCGAAAATGTTTGTAGTAATGTTTACAGGTTGATTTTGAAACAAATGTTTCCACAATTACTCAGAGTTCGTCCATTTTTAAGTCATTCCGTTTCAGAGTGCATGATATTTTTGGGGGAATTTGTGCAGAGGTTAGCATCTAAGTGGATAATCTTGCAAGGATACATATTTGACTTGTCCATGACCTTTACACTGAGGGAAAGAAGGGATATTGGTCTACCATCGGGAGTTTTCATCTTAATAACTTTTGAATGTACAGATCTAAATGTTCTCGTTATAGAACTAGGGTCTAGATCAAGTCCTGTAGAAAAACACTTTAGTTAGGTCCATACATTCTTTCGCTAATGTGTGTAAGACCCATGCTATGACAGAAGATTTATGAGTTTAAGCAGCACATAGCGTTCATAGTTTTGTGATAATAAAGCCAGACAGTGTTTAAATAAACATCTGAAGTATTGAAGTGTCAGATAGAAGGAAGAAACATATACGGTTAGTAGCAATTAAATTGATATTGCTTATACAGTAAACTAACTGTATGAAACCAAGGGATAGAAATTCACTATCTTCATATCGAGATGCAGTATTTTTATGAAACAGCAATAAAGCTCAGCGATGCTTTTTGTAGAATTGCACGAACAAACTTCGAAATTAACCCATCTCGATTGATTTTTTCGGAAAATGTGGTGCCGTGTATATAAATGACCATTGTCTTTTAATAATGCTGAGTTATCATTTGCAGATTCTTGTGCTTTGTAATTTTGAAAAACACTTCCTTACTATGAGGATGTGACTACGAAGAATGCTTATGGTTTGTGCCGCTTCATCTCAAACACATTTGATTTCGACCTTGCGTATGTCGCGGTAAATTTGGATGAAAAACTGCGTAACGTATTTGAAACCTTGCTTTGTTGGCTTATGGTTTCTAGGGTCAAATTGTTTAGGTTTTCTGCCTGTCACTGTTATTTGTTCTCGATCGCTCTTACTGTCAAATGCAAGTAAATTTTGCGAGCTTTCTGAGTCTTCGGCTCATCTTTCCCCATGTTTCTCTTAGCTTTACTTAACTAGATTTCTCACACTTACCCAGTATTCAACATCCCTCAGGCCAGATGCGAACCGCTACACTCAATAATATGAAATTCCCTCATAAACATAATTAGCCAGTTGACATAGTCTAGGAAGTAAGTTATACTGTGTTCAGTTCTATTCACATGGTTATGATATTTCAAATTTGATAATGGATGGGTCCCGTTTGTTTTGTCCTCTTTAGAACTGTTCAAATAAAGTTCCTCATTCTCCATGCATCTTAGCATCGGTGAAGTCTTAAGTTTTGGAGGTAGCAGACATACGTATACACTATTTTCAGAAAGACACCTCAACAAACGTGGACTATATTGCTTTACTTTACTATGATGTGTTACTCAAGTGGTGTACTAACTTCAGCCAATGCTTATATGTGGATGGAAAGCTGAAGTGACAGAAACTAGACATCATATATTTTATTCGTCACTTGTCCATTTTGCCCATCTTTGACTTCGTTATGTACATTATTTGGAGGATTACACTTCCTTTAGAGATTTACGTCCTACTAAGAGACTCACTTATAGACGCAGATAACATAAATATCTATATTAGGGACTCTCAGTTGATCTTTCGCAACACAACGTGGTACGTATGTACTTCGGCACAAGTTGTCATACCCTTTTGTCAGGCCAAACTCGAGAATAGTAGAGGAACTAACAGTATGAGTGATGATTGAAGATAAGGCACCAAAGATACAATCCAGAAAATATAAATTAGTAAGATAAAACCAAAAAAGAATTGTGAGGGATTGAGCACAGAATTTGGGGAAGATGAATAATGGATGCACTTGTGCACATGTGGTTACTGTAATCAAGCGAACCTCAACTAGTTAGTTTACACGTATTAACATGGCTCAGTTCAGTTGTCGATTATGAGGGCTCTGATAAACATAGTCTTCTGATCGCAACAACCCAAACATTTTTTGGATGTTTTCCTCGAAATGCGTAATGCTGCTACAAGGCTGGTCTGCATCATTATCTAGACTGATGATAAGTAATGAAGTCTCTCGTGTTCACTTCACTTGCGCTAACAGTTTGATTAGTTTTCTCGATTTAGTGTCTACGAAATCTCCAGACTAATACAGAAAGCTTGCATAGCTCTTATCAGATTGCGTCACCTGTGATATGAACAAGATGTTTGCCAAGGAGATGGTGAGTACACTGTGCAGTACTCTCTATTTTTATTACTATGAATCATGGTCGTTATACGTAGTCATTAATAGGTTACTAGTATTTGATCATGTCAGGAAAGTCCCACTCACTGCCTTCTCGCGGCGGGGTGTTTATGAAATTGAGAGGACGAAAAGCGAATATCCGGAGCTTTAACCGGATTCCAAACCAGTGGTGCACATGGGCTCCAGTATCCTGTAGGAACAAATGGCGTATAAACCAATTGTTGGTCACCGGCTACCATGGAACTGCATCTCTTTACGTTGCTACACTGCCTTGTGGATCAGACCTTCAGGTCGAAGGCTCCGGGTGTGGCCTCTTAAGAAAACCACCTGCTTCGGTTTGGGCTCGCGCGTAGTATCACAGCCCTCACACAAATCAAATGAGATTTGTGTGGCGCATATGCATTTGATACCCTTTTGTTCCACGTACAATCGGTCAAGTGACATAATTTGTACTTAAAATTATTGCTGAATATTTATCAGTTGGAGAACCATATACACAAGGTTGCTGTGAAGAACGTTTCATTGAGAGACTTGGAAATTCTTCTCTTCAGGATGTCTGCAGTCATCACCTTTGGGATCTATGTTTATATAAAGTGGTTTATTTGCTACAGAGGTTATTTGTGCTCTATGCAGCTTAAGTTTTATATTCTTGTCAATAAATATCGATAGATACCCGTTTTGAATAATCATTTTCTTAATGAGTCTCAATTTGTTATCGTTGATTACTTTTGATGAGTATTTGATGCAAAATTACCTGAGTTTATGAACGTCTTATAATGTAATTTCTTGTTTATTAAATAGAAACTAGGTCTGTTAAATAACTATAAATATGTTTATTTGTCTCGACACAAACATTAGTATAAAGGGGTACGAAATACATATGCACCACACAATAACAATGAGGTTGTGATGAGATAGAGAATGTTAAGTGCATATAATGAAAAAGAAGAATAACGAACAGAAATTAGTGTATGGGAGTGAAATAGTAATGAGAAAAAGCAGTTAAGTTAGCAGAAGTATAACCAGAAGGAATTCTTTCAGTCAAAGAAGTTACGTTCGTTTTATGAAGTAAGCAAAAGAAAGTTACAATAGGATCGCCACTGGCTTCTATTGTGAGCCATGTCTAATAGCGTCTCTAGCCACTGTGTTGCAACAGCTCTAAGATCCTAACTAGAGAGTAGTGAATGGCCAACAGAAGCCAGTCTTGTACAGTTTTCTTTTATACTATTGGTACCGTATCATACACTGACCACCTCCTCGCCTTTTGCAAACAGTCCCAGTGTAGGCAAATAATACACGACGTGGGATCCTCTGGTACCACACTTAGAGTAGGCCAAGAGACCGAAGTCGATGTATCAAGGTGGTGACACCAATTGAATTGCCTGAACACACGATGCTGAACCTTTGCATTACTAACATGGTGTTGCCACTGGATGTCAGCAATCTTTCGGAGACAACGATGATCAAACACAGAGTCGTCTAACATCCCCAACTCAGAGAGACCAGGTTTTACAAGCATAGAGCAAAACTACTCTCACCGATGCGTTGTAGATCCGACCTTTTACGGATAGACTAAGACCACGAAGGCGCCAAAGATGGCCCAGATTGGCATAAGTCGCTCTGGCTTTGATTATACTTGAATTGATCTCATCACTCACGCCACCACCAGCACTTATGCAGCTACACAGATACACAAATTTCTTGACTATTTCTATCCGCTCACTAACTAGTGTGAGTGTAGGATCAGGGTCCTGCCAGCCTTGTAAAAGTACTTTGCACTTGGAAGGTGCAACGCACATACCATACCTACGGACACTGATTGCCAACTGATTAAGCGCGAATTGCATGACTTGGGCATTATCGCACAGTAAGACAATATCGTCCGCATGCCCAAGGTCGAGAAGTCTTTCTCTAAGCAACCGACCCACATCACCATAACATACATCCATCAAAGCTGTTTCTAAAACCTCATTGATGGCAAAGCCGGAGAGGAATGGTGGGATTGGGCAACAATGACTAACCCTACTTCTTGAATGGAGCAATAGGGAGAGGTGGTTGTATGCCCTCACTCTGCCTGAGGTGTTTTTATATAGGGCTTTTAGGATGTTAATAAACTTCTCAGGCACACCCTTCTTCAATAGACAATCCCAGAGAACAGTCCTGTCCAACGAATCGAAGGCAGCCCTGATGTCAAGAAACACTATGATTGTTGACCTGTGGCAAGTATGACGGTGTTCTAACATTTGGCGGAGAGTTAGGGTATGATTAATACATTTTCAATTAGAACGAAAACCAACTTGTTCCTTGTGGGTTTTGGACAATCTACGAAGTATAACAGAAGCCAATAGTTTGGACGCAATCGGAAGTAGACTTATTTCCCGATAGTTGTTGCAGAAACGATGTGAACCGTTTTTAAAGATGGGAACAAATATTGACTCATTCCCTGATGTTGGAACACTCGGGTTGTCAGACCTCTGCAAACAACGCAGTCGTTTCCTTAACCAGAAGGTCACCACCATCTTCAAAAAGGGTCGGAGGTAAGTTATCTGGACCCGGTGATTTTCAGCGCTTCAATATTTGAAGTTCCTTGAGGACTTCCGCCTCATTTAGTGAATCAGTCGTCACAGGCCATGGAAGGCAGGACAATCTGATCGATGTCGCCTAGACAACAGACCAGTTGAACTGTTTCTAAAAAAAACACTGCCCATTGTTCAAGACGTTGATTGATGTTAGTGATTGGTATCCCGTCATCTTCACAGATTGTTTCACTCACACCAGACTTCTTACTGCCAGTGACTCGGATGAGTTCAAAGAACTTCCGGTGGTTACCAGATGCAGTTGCTGCTTCCAACTCATTGGTACGCCCCGACCGCCAGGTTTCTCGGTCCAAGATTTGTCCAGTTTCGTTGCGTAACGGTCGTCGTTTGTGGTCAACCTCACAGTCACCTGGAGTAGACCGAAGAGCTTCAACGATTTGTAAGGAGCCAGGAGAAACCCAATGCTTATAAGCGGGACGTTTTGCGAAGCCGCAAGCGACGTTACTCATCATTTTCATGACGTCGTGCAATTGCAACCAATGCTCATCTGTACTTTTCGATAGGATGATAGCTAACCTTGGACCTAGCTCAGTTTGATATTTAGTTGCAACCAATTTACTGACATCGGTGCTTTTAGGACGATGAATTTGTTGGTCACTGAAAAGTAAGGTAATATTAAAGCAAACATGGGCATAATTATAGTTCAGATAGGTATTTCAAAGTTAGTGGCAGTCTTGTACACAACCACGCTAGCGGTAGCTGATTGCGATGTGATCAATCTGAGTCCAGGTTTGAGATGCAGAGGGAGGGTGCCAGGTGGCACATCGGCAATGACTGTGTCGATAGTTGGTGCTAGCCAGAAACAGGTTATGGTCTGCACACACTTGCATTAGACGGTCAGCGTTATATGACCTGCGACCAATAAGTTCCCGTTGACTACCTAAATGACCCTCTTCTGTGCCCAGACGCCTGATCTGAGTGTTCAAGTCCCAGACTAGTACTGCAATATCTGTCGAACGCAGTTTCTGAGGAAGAACTACTAACTGGTGATAAAATTTATCCTTGATCGCATCCAGGATGCAATCTGTTGGAGCGTAGACGGAGATAATGAAAAGACATCGTTTCTCGTACGGATTTCTTCCTACTTTGATTTTTATTTATTTTAACACATAGATATTGGTACAAGGAAGCACCAAATACATATGCGCCACACAAATCTCATTTGATTCGTGTGAGGGCTGTGATACTGTCCGGGTGCCCAAACCGAAGCAGGTGGTTTTCTTAAGAGGCCACACCCGGAGCCTTCGACCTGAAGGTCTGATCCACAAGGCATTGGAGCAACGTAAAGAGATGCAGTTCCATGGAAGCCGGTGACCAACAATCGGTTCACACGCCATTTGTTCCCACAGGATACTGGAGCCCATGTGCACCACTGGTTTGGAATCCGGTTAAAGCTCCGGATATTCGCTTTTCGTCCTCTCATTTTCGTGAACTACAGTAATGCCACGAGAAGGCAGTGAGTAAGACTTCCCTGGCAGAGGCTGTATACGCGTGACTATGTGAAAGCTTTTCGAGAGGGAGAGTGGACTCTCCCCACTCTCGACCGTACCAGGGCATTTAGGGGCCTTACTTTGATGGAACGTTGTAATTTAACAGCACATAACTGACTTAATCGGGACGCAATTGAATAGTGCTACCTCATCTCTATCACTTAGTGTGACCCCGACACCAGCTAAATCAGACGAAGACGCCAGAGGGTCTCCAGATAAATACATTTTGAACAAGCTTTGTGAAGTGATAGATGGATAGCGAATTTGTAGTACTTCACTAAAGTTTTGAATACGGGTCTCGGATAGACAACAGACTTCGATTGTGAGACTTTCTCAAGACTTTAAATATAATTATAAAACTTTAGTAAATGATAATGTCGAAAAGAATTTTCTCCCTGAATTATCTTTTTTTATTTATTGTGCTGAGAATTCTACGTCGTATCAAACATATAATATTGAGTAAAGCCATTTATTGTGACAATATGTTTTCATTTCGCGTTATGTGTAGCAGGTAAGTTATGTGCTGTAATTTAATATTAATATGTAGAAAGTAACTTAGAGAGAAATTTATCAGCACCTACATCTTATTATATTGGATTAATGTATTGTTTGATATACTGTAATTTTGGCCTTATCTGATCAAGTTCTTTTAAACTATTTTGTATTTTAGGTATTCTTAAATGTCTTATCTTGAAGCTTTTCCAACATGTACAAAGGTGAAAAGATGTGTCCAGTCAGTCTGCCCAGAGTATGTTATTTTTTTATATAAGGATAATTTTAATCTATATTGCTTTATTTTAGAACATTCGAAAAAGATGTAAGATCATTTAAATCACCACAAAATACAATATTATTTTAGTTAAAATATCCTCGCCTGCTGGATAAATCAAGAAATAATATAATCCATACTCCATCATTATGCGATGTTAGTTACAGTTCAACAAACCGTTCAAATGAATTTGAAAATGCCAACAATTCTTCATGTAGTCATGATCGACTTGCTCAGTTATCCGCTTTAATTGATCAATGTTCACATGGCGAATTGTTGCATATAAAAAAAACTATAAAACCATTGTTGAAACGAGATTTTATTGCATATTTACCTGTTGAAATTTCTTTACATATCTTACAATATTTATCACCTCGAGATATATTTCATTGCGCCCAAGTGAGTTGGTGATTCCATGATATATATATTTTTTTGATGTGGAAGGATTTCGTGTCTTATTGTACGTATGGGTACCAATCTATGAGGTCACTGATAACTGAGCCATGTTAATAGGTTTATAATACCTGGGTTGAGTCCGCGTAATCATCTTAACTAATGGTTAGGGACTTTGGATGACACGGTTCGCAATCGTTTTCTATGGCACGGGTGCATCCATTATTTGAAAAAAGTTAATATTGTTTGTTCTCCTCTGCTTCTCATGTTGTTACTTTCTCTTACTTCACTAACGTGAGATGGACCAACTTGGATCAGTATATATTTGTGCTATCTGTTTCGCTGTTCTTGGATCTCAGTGATTGGCTTGCCTTCTTTGTCCTTGACTGGTCTTTCTGGTTTACAATATTTCTCTGCTAGTTTCCTCGTTGTACCATCAAGTTACTTCATTATTTCCTTCTCGTTGCTTTTTCGTTTGTCCTTTGCCAGGGCTTCCACTTATTTCTACTTATAGGCTCTAATGCTCCTTTTCTATCGTTCGTTTGTTTCTATGTATTCGGTCTCTGCTCTTGTTCAGTTGTTGTTAATTTCTGTCTTATTGTTTATCCTTTCTCGAATCTTGCCCAGAGTATTGATAGAGATGCATTTTTATGATAGCACTTCTTAGAGCCAAGAACATCCTATCATGTTGAAGTGAGTGCTTTCTTAATTCTTTACCAGTTATTCTCTATAGTAGTTCCCTCTTCTTTAAGTAGATCTTGTGAGGTTTGGGACCGTTGCTTGAAGTTCTATTGAATTCTCTGACTTCGTCCATATCTCTAAGACAGGCTGTTTTAAACCTTTGTGATGCTCTTTCTCTAGATTTTTAGTGCTCTTTTAGCTACAGTTCCAACTTGGGGACCACCAGGTGGTGATATAAAGCTAGATCAGCTCTTCTCTTTGTTATCACTCAGAACTTCAAAAGTTTTTATCGGTGCAGATATAATAGATCTGGTTCTCTGTAGTATTATTTATTTATTTTGAACACATGAATATTGGTACAAGAGAGCGCCAATATATATGCGCCACACAAAACAATGAGAATTCGAAGAGAGATAGAAAAAAAAAACTAAGGAGCGCAAAAGAAAGAGAGAACAATAACGAAGAGATTGGTGTAAGGTAGTGTGGTAGTAACGAGGGAACGGAAAGGTACAATCAGAAGAAATCTTTCAGGTAAGGGAGACACAACCACTTTTTATGAAGAAAGTAAAAGAAGTTTACAGCAGGATCGCCACTGGCTTCTATTCTGAGCCATATCTGATAACGTCTCTAGCCACTGTGTAGCACCATCTCTCAGACCCCAACCAGGGAGTCGTGAAGGACCGACAGGAGCCAGTCCTTTGCAGCTTTCCTTCATACCACGACACCATATCATGCAATGACCACCTCTCCGCTTTTTCCAACCAGTCCCAGAGTCGGCAAATAATGCACGACGTGGAATTCTCTGGGACGACATTCGTAGAACATGTCCAAGCCACCGAAGTCGGTGTTTCAAGATGGTGACACCAATTGAATTATCATCTCTGTGCCCAAACACACGATGCCGAACCTCTGCATTACTGACATGGTGTTGCCACTGAATGTCAGCAATCCTTCGGAGACAGCGATGATCGAACACAGAGAGTCGTCTAACGTCCTCAACTCGGAGAGCAAAACTGCTCTCACCGATGCGTTGTATGTCCGACCTTTTACAGCCAGACTAACATCACGAAGGCGCCAAAGATGGCCTAGATTGGCATAAGCCGCTCTGGCTTTCACTATACGTGCATTGATCTCATCACTCACGCCACCACCAGCACTTATGCAGCTACACAGATACACGAACTTTTCGACTACGTCTATCTGCTCACCATCCAGGGTGAGGACAGGATTAGAATCCTGCCAGCCTTGTAAAAGTACTTTGCACTTGGAAGGTGCAACGCACATACCATACCTGCGGACACTGATTGCCAACTGATTAAGCGCGAATTGCATGACTTGGGCATTATCGCACAGTAAGACAATATCGTCCGCATACTCAAGGTCGAGAAGTCTTTCTCTAGGCAACCGACCCACATCACCATAACATACATCCATCAAAGCTGTTTCTAAAACCTCATTGATGGCAAAGCCGGAGAGGAATGGTGGGATTGGGCAACAATGACTAACCCTACTTCTTGAATGGAGCAATAGGGAGAGGTGGTTGTATGCCCTCACTCTGCCTGAGGTGTTTTTATATAGGGCTCTTAGGATGTTAATAAACTTCTCAGGCACACCCTTCTTCAATAGACAATCCCAGAGAACAGTCCTGTCCAACGAATCGAAGGCAGCCCTGATGTCAAGAAACACTACGATTGTTGGCCTTTGATAAGTATGGCGATGTTCTAACATTTGGCGGAGGGTGAAGATATGATCAATACATCCTCGACCAGAACGAAACCCAGCCTGCTCCTCGCGAGTCAATCTTTCTCGGGTTTTGAACAACCTACGAAGTATGACGGAAGTCAATAGCTTGGACGCAATCGGAAGTAGACTTATCCCCCGATAGTTGTTACGGGAACGACGTGAACCCTTTTTAAAGATAGGGACAACTATCGACTCATTCCATGACGTTGGTACACTCTCTAATTCCCAGACCTTTGTAAACAACGTCGTCAATTCCTTAGTCAAAAAGTCACCACCATCTTTAAAAAGAGCCGGAGGTAAGTCATCTGGGCCAAGTGATTTGTAACGCTTCAAGAGTTGGAGTTCCTTGCGGACTTCCTCCTCGTTTGGTGGATCAGTCGTCACCGGCCATGGAGAGCAGGACGGTCTGACCGATGTTGTCGGAGCAGCAGGCCAGTTGAACTGCCTTTCGAAAAATTTTGCCCATCGTCCAAGACGTCGATGGATGTTAGTGATTGGCATCCCATCATCCTCGCAGATTGTCTCACTCACACCAGATTTCTTGCTGCCAGTGGCTCGGATGAGCTGGAAGAGCTTCCGGTAGTTACCAGATGCAGCTGCTGCTTCCAGCTCATTAGCACGCTTCGACCACCAGGCTTCTCGGTCCTTACGCAAGCTTTGCCCAATTTCCTTACGTAACATCCTTCGTTTATGGTCAAACTCACGGTCACCCGGAGTAGATCGACGGTCTTCAATGAGTTGTAAGGAACCAGAAGAAACCCAGTGCTTAAAAGCGGGACGTTTCGCAAACCCATTACTGACTGTTCCCGCCATTTTCATGGCGTCATGCAATTGCAACCAATGCTCATCTATACTTTTCGGTGGAGTGGTAGCTAGCCTAGAGGCTAGCTCGGTTCGATACTTACTAGCAACAGAAGTTGCAACCAGCTTGCTAATATCAATCCGTTGATGGCGGTCACTTCGTTGTCCACTTAAAAGTAAGGCAAGATTGGCGCAGACCAAGGCATGATCAGAGTCCAAACAAGTACTCCCAAAGGAGCGGCAGTCTTTTACACAACCACGCCAGCGGAAGCTGATCGCGATGTGATCAATTTGAGTCCAGGCTTGGGATGCAGAGGGAGGACGCCAGGTGGCACATCGGCGATGACTGTGCGGAAAGTTAGTGCTAGCGAGAAACAGGTTGTGGTCTGCACACACTTGCATTAGACGGTCAGCGTTATCTGACCTGTGACCAACGAGTCCCCATCGGCCACCTTAACGACTCTCTTCTGTGCCTAGACGCCCGACCTGAGCATTCAAGTCTCCGGCTAGTACTACAATATCTGTCGAACGCACTTTCTGGAGAAGAACAGATAACTGGTGGTAAAACTCATCTTTGATTGCATCCGGGCTGCAATCTGTCGGGGCATAGGCGGAGATGACGAAAAGACATCATTTCTCACGCCGATTTCTTCTCACTTTGATGGAACTTTCTAATCTAACAGTACATAACCGACTGTTAATGGGGATCCAATCGGCTAGTGCTGCCTCAGCTCTAGCGCTTAGTGCGACACCAACGTCAGCAAGACCAGACGAAGATGCCACAGGGTCCTCGGATACGCGCACATAAAACAAGCTTTTCGAAGCGACAGATGGAGATCGAATTTGTAGTACTTCGCCAAAGTCTTGAATACGGGTCTCGGATAGACAGCAGACATCGATATGAAGACTTTCCAAAGACATAGCCAGCCCTATCTGTTGTCCGACCTGCACTAGTGTGCGAACGTTGAAGGCAGCCAGTTTGAATGGTGCACGTGGTTTCAGAAAAACTGCTTCAGTTCTCGTATTCGGTGGTAACATACAATTTTCAACCGGACAGTGACTCGAGAACGTTTAGATACAGTCGAATTTCCACCAAAGACGAGCCGCTGTATAAGTATAAAAGAGGGTGAATAATGTGGAAAATAATAATAATAATAACAGTAATAATAATAATAATGACAATTATAGTGATAATAATAATAGTATTAATAATGACAATAATTGTAATGATAATAATTTGAATCAATTGATTGTTTTTCGAAGCGAGAAAAGTAATTTCCATAGACATAAGGAGTTCATCATTTGTGTGTGGGCTGTGATATTGCCCGGGTGCCCAAACCGAAGCAGGTGGTTATCTTAGGGGGCCACACCCCGAGCCTTTGACCTAATGGTCTAACCCACAAGGCATTGGAGCAACGTAAAGAGATGCAGTTCCATGGAAGCCGGTGACCAACAATCGGTTCACACGCCATTTGTTCCCACAGGATACTGGAGCCCATGTGCACCACTGGTTTGGAATCCGGTTAAAGCTCCGGATATTCGCTTTTTGTCCTCTCATTTTCGTGAACTACAGTAATGCCACGAGAAGGCAGTGAGTAAGACTTCCCTGGCAGAGGCTGTATACGCGCGGCCGTGTGAGAGTATTTCGAGAGGGAGAGCGGACTCTCCCCACTCTCGGCCGTACCAGGGCATTCGGGGGCGGTTCTCTGTAGTGTCCCGACCGTTGTTGCTACCTTGACGTGATGGTCGGGCTTGTCTATCGTGATGAAGCAACCGAGCTATACTGACTGGAACAACTGTTCCTCAAGGTCCTACCACGTCAGGAAGGTCGGTTGAAGAGCGGTAAGACTAAAAGCAACAACTGCTGACTGTACAGAGGTGTGACAGCAGTAAGGTGTTTCCTTCAGACAACCAGCATGACAGCGATGCTGCCTTCCCACATGGAGGGGTGGGGTTTGAAAAGGTCGACCCTAAATATGCACACCTCGCCTAATCCCACGGATATCCGTCTCCGGCGGTAAGGTCTCAACAAGTACGGAGCTAACACAAAAATTACCCATAAAAAGGTCGTGTGTGACCGACCTCAAGCAGTTGTCCCTTGGGCACTGCGGTCACGCTCCCAGGTCACTAAGACCACTTTTAATCCTATTTCCTTTTCAGGTACCTCCAGAAGAACCCTTCCACGGTGTGGGCAACTGGGAAGTGATAACCGCTCTCATACCTCTAACAGCACTCAAGACCACTGTATTCATAATCAACCTCCCTCTTTGTAGTGTGGTCCAGAGAGACCTATGTAGCTTCATGTATGTGTTTGCGTGGGAATAGTGTCACTTATGACCATTTTTCGAAGGGATATAAATTAGCAAATCTCTCACCATTCCTGTTTATTTCTCTTATCCCATTTCATCTCATGACATTTTTATACCCTGTGTTGTCCATTCCGACTTTGGCGTTTAGGTCTCCCATCAAAATGCTCAGGTCCTTTCCTGGGCAGTCAGTCATCTACAACGTAGGACCAGGCACATGTATACATCTGTCCAAGTTGCCACATCTCATTAGCACAACAAGATGATCGCCAAAATCATAGAAGTAGTTACTTCAATGGTAGTAATGTGTTAAAAACGATTGTATATAAGACGAAAGAATCAGTTCGTAGAAAGAAAGGTAATGACGTATTTTTAATCTCACAGTTTAAGGGAAAACAAAGTGTGTATATACCTACGCCACTGATCAGTCCTGAGCTATATCACCCAGAGTCTCCAACCACAGGTTACGATAACTGCGCGAACCCCAACCAACATTTTGTCTTTATCAGAAGGGGTTTTGTGGAGATTTTAGAAATTTTCACACATTTAAACCATGAGTTAGTTGAAGCTAGACCACCATTGAAAACCTGGAAGCACTGGACGGCCGTTTCGTCCTAGTATGGGACTCCTCAGCAGTGCGGGATCGTGGATGCGCACTGCTGAGGAGTCCCATACTAGGACGAAACGGCCGTCCAGTGCTTCCAGGTTTTCAATGGTGGTCTAGCTTCAACTGACTCATGATTTAAATTTTGTCTTTACTTAACAAAAATATGTCACCTGCGTATTTTAAATCGACAAGTGAATTTACAGTTAAGAGATCAATCCCTGGAAATTTTGGTGACAGGAGTGTCATATCTAGAAGTACAGCTTGATAATAAATTCGTTGAAAAGAGATCCCTTCGCTGAAATTCGTGTTTTAATTTTAATATCTAGAAGTGTTTACGACGAAGTCAATTAAAAAAGAAAGTGGAAAGTCCTGGCGAACACCACTTGAAGTTGACGATTTTGATTATAGTTATTTATAAGCTCTAACTCAAATAATAACGTCAAAGTAATCGTCCTTTAAAAGCTTGATGCAATTCTTTGGTACCCTTTTCATTGACAGACCACCACAAAATCTCTCGATCGACATAGTCGAATGCTGCTTTGAGGTCAAATACATCTATAATCGGACATTGTACAGTTTGCCTGTGTTATAAAATATGATGTAAAGTGAGAATTTAGTCGATTCATCTTACTCCTTATTTGAAACCAACCTTACTTTCTTGGATTTACTCTTCACGAGCCCTAGGCATTAAATATTTGTAAAGGCCAATATTTTGAACACTATATTAGTCATACTGATTCCTTTCTGAATTTTGTTCGTTTTTTTAAACTGATACGATCAGCGATCGAGATAAGTTAAATGAGACTTCGTCTACTTCTCAGGTTCTAACCAATGTTACAGTTAACTTAACTGCTGAAAGTGGACCACTATCCTTGAAGATTTCCGGGACTAATCCGTCTGAACTGTCTTCCCTTCTTCGCGTCACATTATTTATAGCCTTTAGAACCTCATTAGGAATTGAAGGACTTTTTTCAGTTTCTCATTCAGGTTGTTTGGAGATTGCTCGTAACTGGAGAGTTACTATAGAGTGGCTGTACTGTTCCATAGTGTTCTTCCCGTTTATTTAATTTGGACTCAAATTGACTGGCAGTTCCGTTCTCGTCCGAGATAGTTTCACTAACGCTTGCCGTTTTAATACTTATTTCTTTTATCATTCGAAATATTTACTTAATGTTACCAATCCACTATGCCTTTTCCATCTATTTTGCTTTCACTATATATCACCATTGAATACCGTTAAGCATTGGATAGTTGTTCCTCCCTAATCAAGGTTTCCTTACCAGGGATTAAACCTAGGACCTTCAGTTTTTACGGCTCTTGTCCTTCAGAACATTCTGTTTCCATCAAATGATTGACATTTCTAACCTTGGTCAATTCACAACGCTCCCGTAGGTTCCTAAGCTGGAGCGAAATAGCTATGGTTGTCTATCCGCAGTTAGTCTGTGATACAAGGTACGAAGTTAAAGTTTCCACAAGCCCATCATTAGTAATGGAACTTTTCCATCTCACTTTTAGCAACTTCAACCGATGCACTTATGTTCCAGGTTCTACCCCACATGTCTCCATATTTCTCTTTATCCTTTTTTCTTTTTGTAGGTTTCCAAAACTTGGCAACTTGTTTGTGATGATAATTTGCTTTGGTATCGTTTGTGTGTAGGTGCTGGATTGTTTAACACATTATTCAACAAATCTACAATGAATTTATATTCAGGTAATGTGTTTATTTGTTTTCGTTTTTTTATTGTAAACACAAAAAAATCAATCTAGGTACCCACCTGGATTGTCTTTTATGTGTAAATAAACCTACAAATTCACTTTGTAATGAGACAAAATCCGTTTTTGAAAGCTCTATCATCAATAATGGTAATATCACTGATGATGGTGACAATTTTAAAGTACATGATTGTGATGTGTCCATGAAAAGTGATCATATTCAATCTTTTGACACTGATAGTGAATCAACTTTTGCATTATCTTATGCTGGTAATCCTTCAAATTCTTTTAATTTGAATGAGGTAAGTAATTTTAATATTAAATCTTTTTTAAACAAGCATTTTACTTTTTAAATGCTTATGTTCTGGTTCTATTGGAAGTCATTTACCATGTACACTTGATTTTGAGCTATGAAGTGTGTGTGTGTGTGGGGTCTAGTGGTGCTAATTACTCTCTGTTACTTGAACTAAACTAAGTGGACTGGGACTGAATCTCATAACTTAAAATCTGAATGCTTTGGTTGTTAAGCCATTGTTCATAGTATAATTTAATAACCGAAGTTTTTATTTCCTTCTATTGAAATCTAATCGTATACTTACTAGTCATAATTGATTGGTTATTAGTTCACTGTAAAATTCATCATTATCAGTTCGTTGATTATCTGATTGTTAAAGGGTGTATTTACGACTGGTTGATCACAGATTAATGGCTAGTCTCATGTTTGTCTGATCTTTTAATGGTGATCGAATTCCATAGATTAAGATGTATTGTCACTAGTCTAAGTGATTCAACATTGCTAACACCATGTTGATGTGTTAGGCTGTTGAAAGTAGGTTAATCGATCACATTGCATTCGATAGAATTCGATCCTCACTAAAAGACTAGACAAACTATTGTTGGTCACTACTCAGTGATCAATCATTTGTAGATATTTCAACCCCGCAGAAGGTCAATTGCGAACCGAATCGGTCAGTTGTAATATCAAGCAATGAAGCTAGGTAAATGACACATGTCAGTAGATTTCACGTTTTAGTTGATGTGGGTTAACACTTGAGAATTCTATATTGTACTAAATATATAATATTGAATAGGGCCATCAATAGTAATAAATAAATAATGTTCACTGATCACAACGTATTCAAACTACAACTGCTCTTAATATAATTTTTCAGCTTTATGGTGTATCATTCCACTTACTAACCCATAAACTTTTGTTGGTTTTTTGCGAACATAGATATTATCATAAATGGGACAATTTTGTTCTTCGTAGCGTATATGTCACTCATTGATATGTAATATTAATGATTATACTTTTATCTACTTTTTATTTCATATCGTAGAATTCTATATATTATTACTTTCTTCCATACAGGTCAATTGGAAGTCTTTATATCGTCAAGATTTACATACTCAGTGCAATTGGAGAAATGGTGGACCATGGCATCCTATCATTGTACCGGCTCATCATGTAGGTTTACTACAATTTTACTTTAGAATAGATTAAACGTGGCTAGCAATCGAATCCAGGACTCAGGTTTTGTTCTATTTGGGACTCGTCAACCGCATGTGTCTGCATCTCGCAGTTGACATTCACTCCGAGACTGGGACTTAGTACTGTACCGTCTACTTCGAACACTTAGATACTGAGTCCATATAGCCGCTCACTTTTGCACATTCCATCTATTTTATACTAATTTTTGGCACAATAGCTATATTGAGGTAATCCTCACAGGATGCAAATATGCCAACCAATTCTGATGAAATCTCAGTTAAAATATTAACAGTAGGATAATCCAATCCATTTCAAATAAAATTACTGTTTTTATGATTATTGGTGTTTTTAATGGTGGAATAATAACTGGTAATTTTTGTGTATATGTGTATGGTTAAATGAATATCTCGATTATGTCCTTGGCTTAAGGGGATCATTGAAAAATAATCAATAATATAAGTAGGTCGTATGTTAAAAGTCTTGTTTGGGATGAAACCTTTAACAGATAATGCGATGACCAAAAAGGGGTCTTTCTTTTCAAGACTTGGGTTGAAGAAAGGGTGATGAAATAGTTTATGAAAACACTCTTGATACTATGGTCTAAAGTAAATAAGTTAGTTTTTAATGAATAGCACTATTGTGTTTGAGTTGTAAACAGCTGATGAGAAACTGCAAAATATAATGAACTCGTGCTATTCTACTACGTTAATTGTTATTTAGATAAAAACAACCCAACAGGCTATGAAAGGCGGTAGTATCGGTTTACTATCCCTCATCTATTTGACTTATGTTAACCTGGATTGTTGAATAAAGAGATCAATGTACTGGTTGGATGTTGCTATCCAGAAGCCAACAAACTATAGGACTAAAAGATCTGAAGTGGGGCTGAATTTTATGCAATAGCTATACTCGTAGGTTGGAAGTCCATCAGAAATCCTGATGGAACATTAAAGTATAATAAGCCAACTTGTTAAGATAAGTCGGAATTCTTATCACCTTTGATAAACTCTGGAGCAACTGAATTAGTAGATGATCCAGTAGTAGATATTTCACGGTTGATGTTTTTAGCAATATATATATATATATAACGTTAGAGCCAATCCGAAGAATCTCTGATTGGGTCAGGTGACCGACTTTTCCTATGGCTACGAAATAGGTGCTAGAGATTTAGGTTTATAAATTCCTATTTTTTTAAAAATTATTAATGTGATTGGTGTGTGTTAATCCTCGACTCGCTTTCTCCCTATGTGTATCAAACCAATAAAATCACCACTATTTCTTCATTATTTATCTACCCTTTTTACTGCAATCTGACTAGTCAAATCAGACGGAGCCTAATTAATTCTCAGGTGGTGTGATTTGTTTAGTTTGGTATTATAAACTCCTTTTTACAACATAGCGTTATTTGAATTGGTTCAATAGTCTCGAAGGCCAAACCTTAACATTGAAGCATACGGATTAGCACTTGTATTGAAATGAATAAATGAGAGGACAGAATATTAGTGTCGTCATTCGAAAAGCTTACCACAAACCTGCTACTTCAGTTTATTATGCATCCGAGACTCATAGCACAAACAAGAATAGTATTTAAGGGTATAAAATTTGTATCAAAAGCTCCCTCCCCCATTCCCCTGTACCCTACCAAGCATCATCTTAACCAAACGGTGAAATGACTATTTGTATGCATAAAAATGCTAAATTAAGATTGCTAATCAGTTTAACGTTTATGTATGAAAATTACGGAAATAATAATCTCCCAATATGTTTATTTAAACGATCGTAACTTCTGGGTCAGTCTAACTTGGGTTATGATCTTTAATTAGTTGGGGATTCTGAAACGTTAGCTGCACTTATCATCAATCTTGGAGGCTGCAACTGGGAACCGCCAAGTGAACGGTGGTCTAAAATGCTAATTTCCTCAACGCTGGATCAGAAAAATGTAGACGGTCGATTTTCGGATGTGATAGGTACTGATGGTACCCACAAGTGCAAGAAGAAGTGTACGATTCTGTACGAGATAATTACACTGAATGCCTTCGTAAAGACCATGCCAGTAACAATTGGAATCCTGGTCAGAGAAAATCCCGAGCTAAATGGCAGGTTCGTAGCCTTCTTCCGAGACAATGCTTTGACAAGGATACCTGTTAGTTCTTTCATCAGTGACGACAATCTTGCTATAAACAGCTGGTTCCATGTTAGATTGCATGAAATAAGGAAAGAAGTGCCTAGAAATGTTGTGTTCCACCGCAGTATAGAATTAATGGAAATGTAAAGTCGTATTTGTCCGAAAGCATGGCAGTTACTGGAAACCGGAGTGCTTTAGTTCGGGACATCAATAAAGGACGAATCTTATTCTTATGAACAGCTGTCAAACGACTAATGCGGGGATCTTTCTCACATATGAAACGGAGGAACTCGTAATTATAACTGATTGATCACCTAGATACTGCATAAAAGCATGTCAACCGACCAAATGTATAGAACTCACATGCACAACTAACAGACTCTGTGCCACGAAGTGAAGGATTGACTATGAGACCAAACTTAATATCGCTTGAGAAGCTATTGGTTCGTGAAGGTGAATTTTTATTCTGTACACGATTTGCATTTCTACGAGTGTCTCATATTATGGAATTCCAAAAAGTCACATCCTCGAAAGCTTTTGGTTGTCTGAGGAATTCTGCATCTGTCAATGAATGGTGAATTATTTATTTATTTATTTTAACACAAATATTAGTACAAAGAGGCACCAAATACATATGCGCCACACAAATCTCATTTGATTCGTGTGAGGGCTGTGATACTATCCGGGTGCCCAAACCGAAGCAGGTGGTTTTCTTAAGAGGCCACACCCGGAGCCTTCGACCTGAAGGTTTGATCCACAAGGCATTGGAGCAACGTAAAGAGATGCAGTTCCATGGAAGCCGGTGACCAACAATTGGTTCATACGCCATTTGTTCCCACAGGATACTGGAGCCCATGTGCACCATTGGTTTGTTATCAAGGTTTTCCAACTCCCCTAGGTGGACTCTCCATGTCCACCAACCCGGTTAAAGCGTCGGACAACCGCTTTTCGTCCTCTCAATTTTATCATCATTTTTTTAAGAAATGATGAATTAAACTGATTAACAATCTTAAGTTAGTATTTTTGAGCTTGAATATATGTACTTTGTTAAAATTAACGACGAGTGATTTCGGCTGTGTTGAATATTATTTCACATTTGTGCCCACTACCGGCATTAACGTGTTCATTCCTGCCAGTCATCCAAAGCATGTTGCGTTATGTTAGTGAAATACATAGAAAATAGTACCACCTTTCTTTGGATATAAGGATGAGGCTTCAGCGAGATTACTGACGGTGTATTTATATTGCCCCTTCATTACTTCGGTTCTACATTCTCATGGTTATTCTTTACAACCCAGTTATTCGATACAAATAACTACCCAATAACCTTTAATTTAAATTCGTGTTGTTTACAGCTTATAGAGGATGTAGTATAACAGCGTGGTAATAAGTATGCATAACTGCAATAATGATGTTTAGATAATGCATAATTTCATATGTGATTCGTAATTTCCGCATACAGGTTCACCCACTTAAGATCCAGATGGGGACAACATTAATATTAGGATTTGAACAATGTATCGTTTCATCGACTGATCAGTATCAGTTTGAGATGATTTTCACTACCGACTTGAAGCAGTTGACCTATATCTGCCGTTATTAAATATAAATTTTTCGATGATACATACTTTTGGAATTGTAGTAAACTTTCACTGTTTGACATGATTACCATATTCTCATTTACAGTCAGTCAGTCAGTCACAACGTAGAACTTCGTACGTACGTACATCAGTTCGAGTTGCCACACCACATTAGCACAGAGATGCCGTGGTCGATTCAAATCCCGTAGTGGTAGAGGTAATAATAGTATAAGCAGTAATCGGAAAGATTAGTGTTTGGAGATGTTACTTAAAGAGTATAATACAGTGAAATAAATTTGGAAAGAGAAAAAAGAAAGGGACACGAAGAAGTCAGGAGATTAGAATTTGGGAGAACACAAAGAGTGGATGCACCTGCGCCATTGCAAACGATTTTGAGCCATGTCATTCAAGGTCTCTAACTATCGGTTGCTATCATCTCGCGGTCCCCAACCAGGTAGTCTACACCTACCGACATGACTCAGTCCACTTGTCAGTGACTTCATGGACTTGTGCCATGTTTTGGTCTGGCCGCCCCTAGCTTTCTTCCAATCTACTCCTATACCACTGAACATCGCACGTCGAGGCAGTCGGTCGTTGGGCATACGTAACACGTGTCCCAGCCATCTCATTTACAAGTGGGAAAGTTGTTGCACGTTAATATTACTAAAATTGTATCATTTTAACAAGAATGTTATAAATGACAATGTTGAAAGATCATTTTTCTGCAAATATTCATATATGAGATATGATTTCAAATATACTTTCAATTGACTGACTTTCCAGTATGACAATGAACAAGTTAGTAGCATGAAACGGCTGTTCAGCGCTTCCAGGATGTAAATGGTGGCTTTATTTAGCTCATACTATACTACTGTAGTGAACAAGAGCATGTGTGGGGACAATTGGGTGCATTTAGCAAAACAATTACAGACTATCTCAATAAAATCTGAATACCATATAGTAAATCGTCAATTTGCAAAATATTCATGCATCAAATCAAACTGGACTGTTTCTGTTGCAAACACCAATCCATTGTCTCCCATTCCATTGTTCATGCGTTTTCTTACAAATTCCATTGTGTTCTCGCTCTTCCTTTCTTGATCTTCGCCATCTTCTGCTGCCGGACATTACGTTCTTTTAACTCGCGTCATATACTACTCATATCGATATAAGTAACTCACACCACACTACTACTACGTGATTTAAACCATGAAAGTTCTACAATCTGCCCAAATTTCTCGATACTGTACATAATTATCATCCGATAAAATACAAACATTTCACTAGTATGAACAAGTGAAAATCTTTTTATTTTCAAAAATAATGTATAATTCACATCTCATTTAACCATTTTATTCAATCTGTTAAGAATTACATAATGTGTAGACAACAATCTGGTGAATTGTATTTTTAATTAGTGGTAACCATTGTTTGAGACTAATATTATTAATAAAATGAGTAATACAGAGATATGAACGAAGAATATGTTTGAAGAGGAAGAATATATTTGTAAAACGACATATATACTTCAAAATTGTGTTATTCGCACATTAGAAAGGTTAAAATGATTTGGAGTAAAGTGTCCAGTCACAATAAGTAGAATAGTATTATAGCAAAAATGAAAATGTAAAAAAATTGTGTGAATAAGATGAATAGTAGGAGAATTTCATCTTGTCAATTGAGATAATATTATTAATAATATCACTGGTTGAAATCATGAGTCAATTGAAGCTGGACCACCATGAAAAACCTGGAAGCACTGGACGGCCGATTCGTCCTAGTATAGGACTCCTCAGCAGTGCGCATTCATGACGTCGCCCCCTATGAGATTCGAACCTAAGGCATACTGGCTTCGCGCGCGAGCACTTAACCACTAGACCACTGAGCCGGCATTCAACGGTGTTAATGTCTAACTTCAATCAATTCACGAAGTTGCGCCACCGTACATCATTGTCTTCAGTGAGTTGATATCTCACAACCGACCTGGTTGAACTCCACTAGAACTCCAGGAGTATCTCTTGAAGTCAGTCACTAGTGAGCAGATGATTATTATCAGAATATAGTATGTAGTAAGGGAGTGTTATCAAAGTAATTGCAATAAACGAATTGGAAATGATGGATGTGAAGATTAAGATAGAGGCAATAAAAAAGGAGGGTGTAAGATATTTATAATATTGCGAACGTTCACTATTTTTAACGGATAACATTGTCAAATTCATGAATATACGGCTTATTTTGGCCTTTGTAAAATATTACAATTATGGATTTATAACTGTAGAGCCTGATGATGAAGTTATTGAAAACAATTGTTCGCTCAAATATTCTTCTTTTTGAATATTCTATTGGGGATTTTTAAACCATTTGTAAAATCTCAGAGAATGAACTTAAAGTAAACCCAACGTTTCGCCTGGTAATCTGGTCCAATCTTTCTCGATGAAATATAGTCAAACATCAAAATTATCGAATATAAATAGATACACGGTTCTCCGGTTCATTGTATACTGAATAGGTCATCCTATCAACCTTAACAATGTGTAAAGTAAGTATTTACATTAGTGTGTAAGATACATTTGGCGTGAAGCGAAAAGTGATAAGATTACAGATTGTGTGTATACGTAAGTGAGAAGAAGAGATTCCATTCATTATATATTGTCTTCGATCAGCGAATATTAAGAACACATATAATTTTTATAAATGATATGAATCAAAAATGTCACAGCATGCATAAAATGAAAAGAAATAAACACGATAAAGAAATGAATTCAAATAGGAAGAATGTATTTGTAATTGAATGTTTATGTGGCTTGTGACTTCAGGCAATATCGAGGTCATCCACACAGGATGCACATATGCCAACAAGAGACTGATCAATTGCAGTCCTAAGTAACAATGGGAAGATACAAGTAAACAACAAGTGAATGTTTGTGTTATTTTAATGTTCCACTTAATTGCTTAAGATATTCAGATAAGGTAACTGATTAGAACCGTCGACTGTAATTGCTGTTATTCAGATAATACGAGGTGGATAAAATGGAATAAGGAGTTCAGGTTTACATATTAACTATTGATTGCCATGGGACAGCTAATTATATTCCACCTCCTATTAATGTTGTTTGGATTCGCCCATATTTGTAGGGCTTCAGTTGTTAGCCTCTCTTTGTAATAATTAAAGCATTTCTTGTGTCATTGAAATCAATTGTATGACCCGATCCTATCGAGTGTAATGCTATAGCTGATTTGTTCTCAAGTTTTCTTACATCACCTAATGATTTAGGGATGTACTTCAAGCATATTTTGTGTTCCTTCACCCTCACATTCAGTTGTCTTGATGTTTCACCTACATATGTTGTATTACAGTTACTACATTTAATTTCACAAGTTCCCTAAGAAATACTCTTGTAGCTGTAACAGCTGCTTTTTGTGAACGTGGTGAATTGCCTGGAGTCTTGACTCTTAACGTTCTTGGATAAACATGATGGTTTAAACAACGTAGTTTGAAAATTCGGTGGTTATACCAGTTGTACATTTTCTTCGATAATTTGATGCGATTGCAGAATGATATATAAGAACTTTTGTCGAAATTTGATCGAATAGTTACAGCTTCAAGTGTATTTCTTAGGGAACATATACATAAATCCATTATAAAGTTGGACTATCTACGTTCACGTATAGCAAATATCGATAGTGTTTTATCATTAATTATTCCAACAGAATTAAAAACAAACGTTAATGAATTTTTCAAACAAAGAAAACTTTAAGATCAAATTGCGAAAAAGAAACCGTCAAATAAGAAAGTTTTATTTAATGTTTCAACATTCGTCGAAATCCAATAATGACGCGATTAGAAACAAATCGAAGGAACCAGATATAAACAAAATAATGGTGAATCTATCTGATAGACATCTAAATCATTTTTACTATAATACTATTCTACTTATTGTGACTGGACACTTTACTCCAAATCATTTTAACCTTTCTAATGTGCGAATAACACAATTTTGAAGTATATATGTCGTTTTACAAATATATTCTTCCTCTTCAAACATATTCTTCGTTCATATCTCTGTATTACTCATTTTATTAATAATATTAGTCTCAAACAATGGTTACCACTAATTAAAAACACAATTCACCAGATTGTTGTCTACACATTATGTAATTCTTAACAGATTGAATAAAATGGTTAAATGAGATGTGAATTATACATTATTTTTGAAAATAAAAAGATTTTCACTTGTTCATACTAGTGAAATGTTTGTATTTTATCGGATGATAATTATGTACAGTATCGAGAAATTTGGGCAGATTGTAGAACTTTCATGGTTTAAATCACGTAGTAGTAGTAGTAGTGTGGTGTGAGTTACTTATATCGATATGAGTAGTATATGACGCGAGTTAAAAGAACGTAATGTCTGGCAGCAGAAGATGGCGAAGATGAAGAAAGTTAGAGCGAGAACACAATGGAATTTGTAAGAAAACGCATGAACAATGGAATGGGAGACAATGGATTGGTGTTTGCAACAGAAACAGTCCAGTTTGGTTTGATGCATGAATATTTTGCAAATTGACGATTTACTATATGGTATTCAGATTTTGTTGAGATAGTCTGTAATTGTTTTGCTAAATACATCCGTTTGTCTCCACATGTGTTCTTGTTCACTACAATGGTAATCATGTCAAATAGTGAAAGTTTACTACAATTCCAAAAGTATGTATCATCGAAAAATTTATATTTAATAACGGCAGATATAGGTCAACTGCTTCAAGTCGGTAGTGAAAATCATCTCAAACTGATATTGATCAGTCGATGAAACGATACATTGTTCAAACCCTAATATTAATGTTTTCCCCATCTGGATCTTATGTGGGTGAACCTTAACTACTGCTGTTTTGTATAATTTTGTACTTACGAATCGAAATTTCATTAGAGCATACGTAACTTTTGTTATCATAATGAAGTGCGTAAAATAGTGGTAAATTGTAGTCGTATTTTTTACTTATTATGTTACAAGTAAGTTATGAAAAAGAAACGGGATGATAAATATATTTCATATTAGTAAATGTTTATTATAGAATCTCATGAAGGCAGAAAAGGTTTTGTTATTTGAAGACTGTCAATACGACTCAAATTTTTGTTTTTATTTAAATATTTTGTGCTGAAAATTTGTTAGTATATTCCTCCTTTTGTTCAATGTTTTGTGAATGTATACTTCTGTCTTTCTTATGATGAGTAATAGTTTCAATCGTTAATATTTATTAGTTGTAATGTATTTTTATTGTAGAATCATGTCATCACTTGTTTAGAAGTATATGAAGAATGGGTAATCACTGGGTCAGATGATTCAAGTATCTGTATATGGGATATTAATACTGGACAGTGTTTAATTAATTTATTCGGTCACCTTGGTGGTGTTTGGTCAATGACTGTTATACCACGTCAATTGTTATTTCTGTCCGAGCAAAAACAATTATCTCAGCATCCTTTACTTATATCTGGTAGTTGTGATCGAACAGCTCGTGTATGGCAATTAGATGGTCAACATTGGCCTTGTATAGCCACGTTGTTTGGACATCAATCAACTGTTCGATGTTTAGCTAGTCAAAAGTTACATTCTAGTCCAAAATTTGTTGTTACCAATTCGAACAGTTATCATCGTTCCACAGTTGTATATACTAATGATAATAGTAATAGTATTGATGATAATACTTCTAATTCTACTATTAATAATGATAATGACGATGATGGTGTCGGAGATGATGATTCAGATAAAGAATTAACTCGCAGTATATTTCATAAACAACAAACCCATTCTAGTCATGAAAGCACGCAAAAAACAACTTCCAATATTCATCAGGCCAACAGTAGTAGTAATGACGGTAGTAGTAAATTGTTTCATCCAATTCTATCAAACAATGAGTCTATTTCGACGTTTAAAATGGAGAAAAAACAGCAAACATTTCAAACTGGTCACTTAGTTGTTACAGGTAGTCGTGATACAACTTTACGTCTATGGAATGTATTAACTGGTGAATGTATACAAGAGTTCCGAGGTAATTTGTTTGGTTGTTTTCTAAAAAAAGGATTTATTAATTGACTTCAATGTTAGTATTATGACACATTTTAATTCTATCTAACATTGACCAGTGATACAATATTGTATGATCGATATAGGAGAACACCATGGTGTATTGGTTGCTGCATTAAAACATTCTGTTCAGTCCCTACTGTGCACCTGTTTCGACGAAGAGGATGAACTAACTTACTTACGCCTGTTACTCCTCGTGAAAGGTGCTCGCCAGCATTCTCCATCCAACCCTGTCCTGGGCAATCTTTTCCAGCTCCTTCTAGTTGTTATTCATCCTTTTCATATCTGCTTTTATTTCCCAACGTAATGTGTTTGGCCTTCCTCTTTTCCGTTTCCCTTCAGGATTCCATGTTAGGGTTTGCCTCGTGATTCAGTTTGATGATTTGCGTAATGTATGTCCTATCCACTTACAACGTATTTTCCTAATTTCCTCTACAGCTGGTCTGTTCTCTGCTACAGAAGGCTGTTGCTGATGGTATCCGGCCAATGGATGTTGAGTATCTTGCATAGACAACTATTTATAAATACTTGTACCTTCTTGATGATTTTTGTTGTACTTCTCCAAGTTTCAGCTCCGTATAGTAGAACTGCCTTGACATTAGTATTGAAGATTGTGACTTTGATATTGGTTGAAAGTTGTTTTGAGTTCCATATGTTCTTCAATTGTAAGAATGCTGTCCTTGCTTTGCTAATCCTCGCCTTTACGTCTGCATCTGAACCTCCTTGTTCATCGATGATGCTTCCTAGGTATGTGAAGGACTCTACATTTTCCAGAGTTTCGCCATCAAGAATGATTGGATTGTTGTTTTCCGCTTTGAATTTGAGGACTTTGGTTTTCCCTTTGTGTATGTTGAGGCCTACTGATGCAGAGACTGCTGCTACACTGGCTGTCTTCATCTGCATCTGTTCGTGTGTACGTGATAGGAGGGCTAGGTCATCTGCGAAGTTCAAATCGTCTAATTGATTTTGAGCTGTCCATTGTATTCCGTGTTTTCCCTCAGATGTCAAGGTCTTCATAATCCAGTCGGCCACCAGAAGAAAGAGGAAGGGAGAGAGTAAACAGCCTTGTCTGACTCTGGTCCTTACTTGGAATGCGTTTGTCAGCTGTCCACCATGCACGACCTTGCACTGTAGTTCGTCATATGAGTTCCGGATAATGTTGACAATCTTCTCCATAGTGTCGAAGAAGTTTCCATAATGTCCTCCTATCTACACTGTCAAATGCCTTTTCACAATCAACGAAGTTGATGTACAGTGACGAGTTCCGTTTAACTGATTGTTCGACGATGATCCGTAGTGTTGCGATTCGGTCTGTGCACGACCGGTCCTTACGAAATCCAGCTTGTTGATCTTGAAGTTGGGCGTCTACTGCGTTTTTCATCCAGTTCAGCAACGTTCTGTTAAAGACTTTCTCAGGTACTGACAGTAGTGTAATGCCCCTGTAGTTCTCACATTTGCTCAGATCTCCTCTCTTTGGAATCTCGATAAGGTGTCCTTCTTTCCAGTCCATCGGCACTTGTTCCTCACCTTGTTGGTAGGTACAGACTACTTGGTTGTGATCCGCGTGACTATCGTAACCAATGGTTGGAGACTCTTCGTGACATGGCTCAGAATCGATCGCAATGGCGTAAGTGTATACACTCTGTCTTCTCTTAAACTAAGAGATTAAAATCGCTTGATATCTTTCTTTCTACGAACACTATTCTTTCTTCCTGTACTATATTCTTATATTCAATCTTTCTTTGATATATTACCACCATTGAATTAACTACTTTTATGAATCCGGTGTCCATCTTGTTGTGTTAATGATGTATAGCGACTTGAACCGATGAATATATGTGCCTGGTCCTACGTTGTAGCTGGCTGACTGACGTTTTACATATTGTTTGGTTATTTTGATATATCTAGTGCTTACAGATTTTCAATGGCGGTCTGCCCAAGACCAGTTCGTGATTTAAAACAACTCATATTTTATGGACGTCCACCATTAAAAAACCGGAAACATTAGACAGTCTTTTTTTCCTAGTATGAAGCTCCTCAACAGTGCTCATCCACGATCCCACACGTGAAACTCGAACCCAGGACCTTCGAGCTCGCACAGAAGCTTAACCTCTGGATCACTGGGCTCACGTCCAAAGGTGTCAGTGTATAACTCCAACCAATCCACAATATTGCGCAACCATCTTCCATTGTTTTTGCGGTTGACTACCTCGCACCCGTTACTCCACTGGTCACGGCTTCTCACTAGAACTCCGAGTATAACCTCTCGAAGCTAGTCAATAAAGAAGATATAAAGATAGTGGCACGATATCGTGAATTGGTTAAAGTTGGACATTAACACTTTTGAATGCCGGCTCAGTGATCTCGAGCTTTTGCGCGAGCTCGAAGGTCTTTGATTCGAGTCCCGAAGATTAGGTAACAAAATACGCTGAGTAATAATTTATTATTATCATTAAAAACAATGTTAATCAATGTTACAAATTTACTGATGTAGTGGTAAGTTAATATTTATTTCTTTACGGTTTAGTGTTACAGCAAAGCTTAAAGATGTTGAGCTTTTTTCGTCTTTTGATAATTTGGAAAAATTGGTAAAAGTTGATCATATCCCGGCTATCGGTGATATTAGGAGTCGTTGGACTGTTTAGAGCTATTTATACTAGTCTCTAATTCGTTGGAACGTTATCGGGAATAAGATGTACTCTTTTCTCTGTTTTTCCGATGTATGTACTTTGATATATAGCAATTTACATGTATTTGCCATGGTTCACACCTTGGGACGACAGAGGGAAGATTTTTTCCGAGCATGTTTCGAATAATTTTGAATTTAAAGTTACAACAGAGTTCTACTCATCTAATTTAAAACACCTATGTGCTATGTATGAACAGTCGCCCCCTACCTCGACGGGTGATGTTATCTGATGTGGGAGGTAAGCTGAAAGGCACGGCCAAATCAAGGCGTTGCATCGACCCGTGATGTCGTTGGAAATTGGAATGAGTCAAATTACTTACTGTAATCATTGCTCAGAGACTTTGTGTGATGTCTCAAAACCGTTTGCAATGGTGAAGGTGCACCAACTTTTTGACTTCCTTTGGAAGCTGAGTTCCGTTATCCTTTTTATCGCTTTTAAATTACTCCTGATACTGTTATTACTCCTAGCACTCTGACATTTTTCTTGATAATTTTATTTCGCCGTGCTAATCTGGTATGGTAACTTGAACCGATGCATACATATATCGGATTCCACGTTGCATGTTACTGATGAAACTCATGCAAACTCTTCGAAGATTTTATGGTTATTGTTATAACGGCTGGTTTTTCGCGTCTACACGTATGGGACGTTAATTTACCTTGGACGAATGTCTACACTAGATCCCCTCCCAATGTCTATTCTACAGGACTTTAACACAACTCAGATCAAGAACACGTGATTAGCCTAACCACAACGTAAATATGTTTCCACACCAAAAGCCCGACACAACCCAACAACAATGAACATTCGATAATAATTATAAGGATAGGGGAATATATAACTCATCTGACACCTGTCAGACTATCTACATGTCTGACTAAGCAGACAACCAGTCATTATCATTTCCGCCCACACATTGGTTATTACGTAATCCATCTTATTATTTTTCCGATTGCAAGTATTTACTCCTCATTTTCTTTATGTTTCTGATTCCCATCTTCGGAAGACCTTACCCATGATTTTTTACATATCTATGTTATATGTATAATAGTTGGTATTTCCGTATTTTCTTCCGTCACTTAATTTCAAATTATTTTGTATTTTAATAAGAATACAGTTGTAAGCACCTAAAGGTAAACTATAAAATAATATTAATTAATAATATACTGCATCAATTAAAATGAAAAACTAGAACTAAATGTAGAAAGTGTTTTACATTTGCCCTTGCTTCAACTCAAGGTCATCGTGGAGCAATACGTTGTGTTCAGTTTACTGGTGATCAAATTGTTTCAGGTAGCTATGATTGTACAATTCGTTTATGGTGTGCATTACAAGGTCATTGTCTACGTGTTTTCAGTGCACATACAAATCGTGTTTACACATTATTGTTTGATGGTTATCATATTATCAGTGGTTCATTGGATACGACTATACGTATATGGAATGCACATACTGGTGAATTGAAACAAACATTCTATGGTCATCGTTCATTAACAAGTGAATTAGCATTTGGGTCTGAACAAAATATTCTTGTGTCAAGTAATGCCGATGAAACAATACGAGTATGGCATATGAATAGTGGGAAGTGTGTACATGTTCTTGCTGGTAAGTCTACAGTGTTTAACATGCTTTTTTTGGTATTGCGGTCAGTGTTTACTGATCAAACCAGTCAAGACTGATCAAACTTTGGTCAAAATATCGACAACGGGATAATTCAAACCATGATAAAAACTAGTTTGGCTAATATGAACAAATTGGTGTAGTGTAAGTCAGAACACTTTTTTTAACGGTTAACATCGTCATAAATGTAGTAAACGTACACTTGGCACCAAAACAATCTATATATGAAAAACCTGAATGATTCAAACTTACTAAGCATTATGTGGAAAGCTGTAGGAGTTCAAGTGATATTTAACACTAGGATGTTCTCTGAAATACGGAAAACCTTTTGGGTTGCGCCTACACTCAGGTTGGTCAGTGTGACCTAACGGTGAGAATAGTTAAGGAACACTTATTTATTTAAATCTATAATTCATACTGATCTTGAAAAAATATGTGATATATATATATATATATGTCTGTTTCTTGTTCGAATACTCTAGTTTTTAAGCAATTAGTCCCTTTTATAAATTTAGATAGAACAATGAGAAGACTGAGTTTATCTGAAAAATGTGGTGTATTTGCGCTAAATATTTCGAACAATCTGGTCACACATATACTTGTCAAGGCATTTTATATGAAAATTAATAAAGATTCAAGTGAGCAAAGTGATAATCTTAGTAGTTGGATTTATGAGTCGATCTAAGTTAGACCACCATTGATAACCTGGGTCCGATTCCCGCAAGCGAAACCTTCAGTCTTGCACACGAGCGCTTAACCTCTTAACCACTAAGCCAACATCCAATGGTGTCAATGTATAACTTCAACCAACCCACGAAATTGTGCCACCGTCCACCATTGTCTTCAATGAGTTACTATCTCACAGCAGGCACGGTTGGACTCCACTGGTCACGGCTTCTCACCAGAACTCCAGGAAATACCTCTTGAAACCAGTCACTAGTGAGCACATGATGATTATTATCAGAAGGGATTTTGTGGATATTATAGTAATTTCAATGGTTGAGACCATGAGTCAATTGAAGCTAGACCACTATGAGAAACCTGGAAGCACTGGATGACCATTTCGTTCTATTGTGTACAGAAACATTTTGTCGTATGTATATATAAGTATTTTGAGTTATGGTTCTATGTTGAAACTTAATTCTGGTTATTTTTTACTCCAACGTCCTTCTTGTTCTGAACATTTCTCCAGTATGTATCATTTACATCAATATGTCTAGTTGTACCGATGATAGTGTGATTTATTTACTAAGCACAAATTTAACTTGTGGTATGTGATCAATCGAAGGCAATAGCATGACTGATTATTAAAGGTATTTATATTTGTCCTTTATCTTATATATCATCACTTTAATTTAAAAATTGTTCAACCGTAAAATGATAATACACTAACTATCTACTTATTTGTTGACTTGGACATATAAAGTCTTAAAGTCCCCGGTTCAGGTAGCCTAGTGGTAACGTCTAAGATTGCGAATCGAGTGATACGAAGTCGGATCCACCGGGTAGGACTGGTTTCCTTAATCTTACAGACACACCTTCCTGACTAGCCCCAAACAGTGCGAATTCTATATCCAGGGTTTTCTATCGACCGCTTCCAACCACCTAACATACTTTTTCGGTTTTATCAATCCTTTCTAGATTTATGATATTATAAATTCATTTGTATCTTATACCTACGTCATGTAGCTAATTCAATTTATTACTTGATAATAATATAATTTTTATTTGTGTATAGGACCTCATAAACATCAATCAGCTGTTACATGTGTTCAATTAACTCGTAATTTTATAATATCATCTGGTGATGACGGTACAGTGAAATTATGGGATAAGCAGTCTGGTGCGTATATTCGAGATCTTTTACGCCTTGATGGAGCTGGACGAGGCGGTGTTATCTGGCGTATAGTTGCTTCTGAAGAACGTTTAATATGTGCTGCTGGAAGTCGAATTGGTATGGAACCGACAAAATTAGTTATACTACAGTTTCAAGAACCAAATCTTTGTTCAAAACACTCGGACACTAATAATAGTAGTAATAAAATATCTCATATCTGTCGGCCTAGACATAAATATGCTCCAGAACCGAGACTTAGTCAACTAATATGCACCAATTTCAGTACAATCTAGTATTTTACCATTACTTGTTGGAGATAATTAGGATAAATTTATTAACTGTTTTAGATACATTTCAATGAAAAGTGTTTGGAGATTCATATTTCATTGAATTGTGTACATAAATCAGCTTGTTTACTCGTTTGGTCTTCTGATTGTTGATAATTCTTCTTTTTAAAAGGTATGTATTAGCGATAAAGTTGTCAAAATCACATCTAATCAATAATCACACAGAGTATGGTAAGTCGAGTTTTTATAATTGATTATAATATCGTTAATGCTTTGTGCAAAAGGTTCCATTGCTATTCTAAAAAAATATTTAACCATGAAAATTTAGCCCCATCTCTGGTGTTCGAGCAAGCTTCGACACAGTAATTAACGGTAGTAACAATGACTGACTGTCAACGGTTCATGGGAATTTCCGTGTTTCATGGTTGACGTCAAAGACTGATCTTAGATAGCACTGAAGAGCTACTAGGACAAAACAGCTGTCCGGTGTCCCCTTACATACTAACATAAATCTTTCTACCCCCAACCGACCTATTCTTGTCATCTTTCTGATTACATTTTATTTCAATTCTAATGCCATGTCGCACAACTTCTCCAGTCATTTATCTGCTTGATGAACCCTTAAAAACTACAATTACAGCTTCTCAGTGACAAGTGCAAAGTTCAGTAAATTCTCAACAATAAAGAAATTTCCAGTTCTTACTCATTGAGATATTAAAAATATATCATTGTTTCGTTATCAACAGACATATTGTTCTTTATTCATCCTAAAAGGAAGCGTAATGAGCGACAAACTCGACATATTACAACGTGTTAATCGTGTATTATATTTACTTTCTTTTTAGCCGTATGAAAGTCACCTAAGGTGATATTTTAATATATTATATAATTGTTAGACCGATTGCACACATAAGAGCGAAAACGTAATTGGCTGAATCTCGAACCTAGAATGAACCAACTGGATTGCTTTTTGAGTCTTCTAACCAGTCAGCAACTTAATTCTTTAAGAAAAAACTTAGTAGATCTAATAGGAATGCTGTCACAAGTTTCTCAAATGCTTTAAAACCACCGTGTTTTTCCTACCACTCTTGTAAATCATTAGATTATATGGGTAACAGGTACAAACTTTATATCCTCGGCTTCTTGTCAAACAGTTTGTTTGTTGTTTTCAAATCGATAACCTGATTGTTAGGCGCCTCTCAATGTAAGATCGATTGAGGCGGCCTGCTTGAATATCTGACCCACTTGTTCATGTTATCTGGATATTTCAACAAGTTACCTTCTTGCTTGTTTGTTTGAACACATCATTATACCTATTAGTCTCATAACCTGTTCAGGTGCGTTTGTGGAAAGTTTACGATATTGCCACACAAATTACTAAAGAGCCCAGTCAGAAACATTGTGATTGCTGGCCATATGCATCGAAAAGAATGTACATTATTCAGATGTCGAGTCCTGAACTGCTAAAATATAACTGGCGACCGCTCAATATTCAAGGATCGGTTAAAAAAATAAGAAAAGGAAACGTTTTGAAATAATTCATGCTGATAATTCTGTTGTATGAAAAATACAATATTGAATAAAGCCACTAATAAGAATAAAACGACTGGTCCGTAGTGGGGTGTTATTTGTTTCTTAAAAGATAACATGATATTTGTATTCGAACTGCGACATGAACCTTTCCACTGAGATCTCAACATATTAATTTACTATACAAACTTTCCTACAATAATGCTCTAAAATATATGCGTGCTGATTTACTTAACAACTAGTGGTTTTTTTCCCTCCTTTGGATTTGGCTGGGACAAGGAATTTAATAACACATTCGCTTAGGTCTTCTAACTCGAGTTATTTAAAAAGTAGATCACTTTTGGAGTAATATGGAGATATTCGAGACAGGTATGATCCTGAAGACAGGTTGTTGTGTACAATATCAAGTTTAAAGCCTGGTGAAAAAGTAGAATCCTATAGTAGTCATAAACTGATTAGCTCGATAGCAACATAACTTGGGACAAGCCCGTGGGCTTTAGACCAGCCAATGATTGGCAAGTGATTTACTCGACCACCTTAGATGGATGGCGTTGCCATACTAATTAAAGGATTCCACAAACATATCAGCTATTACTATTTGGTAATTGCGAAACTCCCAAAGGATTTAGGTGATCACTAGCAACTTACAAATAATCACTGAAGCTATTTGGTTCAGGCAGAAAAAGACGAAAAATTAGCAACAGTAACCTCTTATATTTTTTCTTTGAAGTCTAAAATAGTTGGGTTTCAACTTTACACTGGTGCATATGTCGTAAGTGTTTACAGGAATAATCTTAAGGAAGCAGCTTTAAATCACCGGAAACAAGGTTTATTTCAGAAGCTAAAGCTGATGAAGAAAAATATAAGTAATTTCAAGTACAAACCCGGTCCTATCCCAAGAACAGTTGCGGTGCCTTTAGGAACTTGTGTATGGCCGGCATCATGTATAATTGAATTAACAAGGCCCAATGACTCTGCTTTGTGGGATAGTTCAAGCCTAAAAACAGCAATAGATTAGAGTCACTGTGTTAGAATCATGACTAAATCCACATTTCTTCATAGTTGTCGACTTTAAGTACGATTTTGGGTTGTCCTTGTTCTTCCCATGCCTTTAAAATACCGGGATCCCTTTCATTAATCTCTTCATAACAAGAAACAGCAGCATGAGAACACTTCAAAACTACGCATCTTAAGAGCATGAGATAATTTACCTGAGCAGCAATCTTTCCACAACCCATTTTAAGATCAGACCGTACTATTAACACTAGTTTCATTTTACCAGGAACAGGCTTGAGATGAGTCAGTTTTGATGCTAGACTGACCTATTGTCGAGAGCCTAGTCATTTGGAAAAATTGGGGCTTACATTGCTACCAAGCCGACGAAAGATACACCAGCCAACAAAAACACCAATGCCCCCCGACACAATGGACGTAAGGACAGTTAGATCCATATTGGCTTTGATAGTGAAATTCAAGATGAATGCGGACTTGGATACTGTAAATAAATAAACACTTGTGAAACGCTTCCAAACTAATGGGGCAAGCGGGATTTGCGGCGAACGAACGTTGACAACACTAAGTGAACTCAACTGTTTTGAAAAACATTAACGTTACGTCCTACAGTTGACCAAACAAAGCTCAAGTTATTTCCACCTTTCAATGTTTAGAACTACTGATTCCGTTGCAGATACAGTGATCAGTAAAAAAAAAGATCTGCGATAGTAGGAGTGTGCCGCGTCAATTGATAAAACAGTCATACGGTAAAAATCTGAGTCTTCAGTAATAAGGATAGCAGGTTGGTGAACCTGTATTAATCATGACACATTGCTTTCCAGTGAAGGTCCAGCTTATCCTTGAAAGTATTCACTGATTGGGCTGATACCACTTGTTCGGGTAAGGCGTTCCAATCATTGACTACTCGATGAGAAAAACGGGACCTCACTTTAAGTTTATTAGAACGTGGTTTATGGACCTTCTTGCTATGACCCCGGAGATTATTAGTGCTAGAGGGAGCCAAAAGATAAGACATATTAACACCCAAATCATAATTAAAGATACGAAATGCCAGTATAAGGTCACCTCGTGTCCTACGATACGACAAGGGGAAAAGATTTAGGTGTTTTAAACGCTCACCGTAAGGTAGTCTAGAGAGACCCTTCACTAATTTCGTTCCTACACGCTGGACACGCTCAAGGGAGTTAGTATCCTTTACCAGACACGGGCTAGCTGCTTGGATACAGTACTCTAAATGTGGTCTAACATATATGGGATATAAAATTCGAAACGTTTCCTCGTCAAAAGATTTGAATGCTCGGCGAAGTGACCATGACGCACGAAAACCTTTGACAGCGGCTACTTTACAATGCTTAGTTGTTTTTAAATCATGACTTAATACTACTCCTAAGTCTTTATGCTCTTGAACGCAAGGAAGAGGTTAACCCCCAATAGAATAACGGTAACTATTACCGTGACAGATATGCAATAGTACACTCTTCTTAGCATTGATTTCTAAGCCCCACTCTCGAGCCCATCTAACTAAATCATCCAAGTCACCTGAAAGATCCAGGTGATCAGCCGCATTTTTTATTGTTCTCCAGATTTTTACATCATCCGCAAACAATGATGTCGACGACCTAAGTAACAGTGGTAACTTAACGCAGAGAAGGAAGAGCAGAGGGCCTACGATGGTGCCTTGGGGTACGCCACTTTTGACCGGCTTCCAATCGGATAGCGTCCCGTTGACTTATTTCAATATGGTTGTCAAAAACGAGCACTCATTAGCTCAACCCAGACCATACGTCTGAAAATGTAATATATAAGATATTATACACTCAGCATCGTCATAAAGGTTATACGATGGAGGTGAAGTCCTTAATTGAAACAGCTAGGGGTGTACTTCGAATTTTATCTCTTGGGATACACCAGGGGGCCGAGAAACTCTCCACCATGGTTCAGTATGGAGGTTCGCACCCTTCTCTGCAAGAGGCGAAGAATGTGGGGTAAATTTAGGCAACTGAGGACTGACGAGACAAAATCTCAATATCGAGGAGTTCGGAATGCTTGTACATCGACTCTTCGTATGTATAGAAGTTTGTAAGACGAAAAATTGTTGAGGAATCTATAGAATGTCCTTGTCGCCTGGGTTCGTGCGCAAATCAAAGGACTAAAAGAATAGAAAATCTTCCAGCACGGTGTGGGGACAATAATATTTCATCACTGGTGGAGGAAAACTTTGGTAAAGCTGAATTATTATCAAACTACTTTAGCAATATACACTGTGGAAACACCTTTTCTTTCAGGCCATACAAAGCTTTCCACACACATACTGGACAACGTGACCGTCAAAGAACTCAATGACCTTGGTCTACGAAATAAGTTTGATATAGGCAAATCCACGGGACCCGATAAACTGCATCCTTGTTCACTAACAGTACTATCTAACTTCGCTGTCATTCCCTTAGGTATATGCTTTAATCTACCTGCTACCCAGGGTCGTCTACCAAAAGACTGGGAGAACGCCATAGTGAGTTCTGTCTTCGAAAAAGTTACGAAACATGAACCTGAGGACTACACCCATTAGCCTAACAAACGTGTTTTTCAAAATTTTATAAAAGATTATTCAGAAGGAGTTTTTAAGTATCTAGATGAAAACCGGATTCTTTTTGACAGGCAGTGTTGTTTTAGAATAGGTTATCCTTGTCGCATTAACTTTATGGTTGCTAGTGAAGCCTGATGCGCTCTTAAAGATCATGATTTACCTATAGTCCTAACCTACAATGACTTCAGCAAAGCATTTGAAAAAGTTCCTCATAACCGGCTGTTGAAGGTGATTTATTCTGTGGATGAAGGACTTGCTCGATGAGCGTCAACAGTGTGTAAGCATGAAACTATGCTTAGTGGAGTACTTCATGTTTACGGTTTTGGGGCCACTGCTATTCTTCGTATATAAAAGTGACCTTCGTAGTCTCATATCACTATAGCGACCCACGTGCAGTTGAGTTTGATCACATTTAATTCGGTTACGTCATTTTGTTAACTCATTAACGAACTGACTCATCCGTACAACAACAATAATAAAGATACAGTGGTAAATATAGATTGTTGTTGTACGGATGACTCATTTCGTTAATAAGTTAACAAAATGACTTAATCGAATTAAATATGAACAAACTCAATTGCAGGTGAGTTGCTATATCATCCTCGGTCTTGTTATATGCTGACCATGTCAAGATATGGAGAGCAATAAGAAGTCACGTTGACAGCTTGGAACTTCGAAATGACCTGGAGAAATTATGTGAATGGTCTCAAGCCTGGCAGTTGCCGAATAATACTTACAAGTGTATTGTGATGTATATCGGCCATCAAAGTACAGATACATACATGATGAATAACACTGAGCTACCTGTTGTCCAGAAACAATAACTTGGGAGTCATCGTTGGCCAAGACTTAAAGACTACTAAGCACTGCCGTGCAATAGCTGCCAAAGGTTTTAGAACACTATGGTCAATACGTAGAACTTTTAGTCATGTCGACGCTAAAAGTTCCTTCACTTTGTACACAGTGTTCGTGAGTCCGAAACTTGAGTGTTGCATACAAGCGGCTAACCCCTGCCCAAAAAGAGACGGTGAGCTGTTGCAGAAGTTTCAAGAAAACGCAACTGAGTTGATTCCTGGAATGGTAAAGTTTCTGTATGATAATCGACTGGATGAACCAAGCCTACGAGTCTACTTTATAACAACTATAAACGTAATGAGTTGGGATGCATGCTGTGCACCAACAAATGTTGTAATTTATAGATCGTACCTGTAAAAATGGCATGCACTTACTCATGCAGAAATATCTTATTATTATTATCTGTTGTCATATTGAAGGACTAGAGTTGGCTTGATAACGCATTTTGAATTACTAAGTGTTAACTTTGCATTTAATGTCCCCTGGTTTCATTTAACTTACCAAAGGAAGAATTTACGATGACACTTGAAAAGAGTTCACAAGCTCAGAACAAATTACTTTTCAGCCATCGACTTTCCCATCGAATCGTCAACGAATGGAATTCATCTTCCAACACGTGACTGAAGCTCCATTTGTGGATGCTTTTTCAAAGTAAAGTTGGATCAGTTGAAAGACCATCTCTGTCGTGAATATCACAGGCAGCTTAGCATCCTTTCCTTTACATAATAATGCAAAAGTATGGCGATAAAGTGAACTTCTACAATGTCTCTGATGTGTTTCGAGCACCTTACAATTTTTATTTTAGAACGCGTTTTTGTGAACCGGTTTTCGGATACCAGCTAAGTTTTGCCTCGATTGTTGACTATCGGGGAAGGTACCATAGTTGCGAGGCTTGTGTCGTCCGAGTGTACGGGAGGAAAATCAACATGACTAGGGTTTTCTTCTAAATACACTGCGTTAACACGTTCAGTTATGGCGGAAAAGTCCAGGTTCGAATTGGCGTCCTCACTCTGCAGTGATAGTTGAAGGGCAACAGAAGTTTGCTACCCACTGTTCGATGAAGTTGTGGGTCCCTGTTTCGGGAGTAATGTTCATGATGGGTACTGCTTCTGCCAGTCGAGTGAAATGGTCTATGCAAGTTAAGGGATAAGAATATCAATTTGAATCTAGTAAAGATCCTATCAAGTCCCGATGAACATGGTCGAGACGAGCATCGAGAGTTTTGAATGAGCATAAGGGACATTTGTTTTGTCTAATCACCTTAGATTTCTAACAGCTTAGATAGGAGCGTACCTACTCCGTCACATCTTTGTTTATATCTGGTCGGCAAAATCGTTCTGCTATGAGCTTGGTGGCTACAAGCAAAGCTGTACGAGAAAACTTTTTCAACGTATCGATGACGCAACAACAATGTTCCGGCACTGTTTGGCGATCCCTAATTGTAGATGTATCACATAGTAAAGCTAACCAACCTGTCTACATCCATTTGATTAATATTTTCAGGGTTTTTGAAGACAATTGGCACAGAAGATCAGGGTCTTCCTTTTGGAATTGGGCTAGTTTAAGAAGGTCGGTTCTTTGTAAACTGTCCAAGGAATTAATGCAAAACGAGATGTCTGCTACTGCATCGTTCAACACAGACATATGTTGCATATCTGAAATAAACTATGACATGTTGTCCAATTGTTGAGACGCGTGAGGGGAAAACTCGTCTGAAAATGAGTTTAGAAGTTTATGGTTGGTAAGCTTGGAAACAGAAATATTCATCTCACTACAAAATTTCCGTATTTTTGAGCTTGAATGGGAAGAATGACAAAACCACTTAAGGGGTATTATGGGTATTGTCTCGATATATTTCATTTCTGTCATAAAATGAACAGTTTTTGCTTGGTAAATAGTTGGAGCTATGTTTACAGATTCACTATGGTCGATAAAATTCAACTTCTTTGATAGTAAACTTATAATCCCTTGTGGGAAAATTGCGAAAATTTTACCGAT